CCCCAAAACCCCAAAACCCCTCATTTAAAATTAATAAATTGCCAGGAAAAATGTATTTGTAATAGTTTATAAATAAAAGGATAATTAGTATCATAAAGACTGAACTTTTATTATATTAAAAATGAATCTTTAATATTAGAAGTTATAGTTCGCACTACAATAATAATGCTTGAACCATTATTTCAAGAGTTGCCTCATTCTACTAATATTTATCTTTGATTGGTCAATGGCATATGAAACATGCTACTAATAGAAATAATTTCCATTACAAATCTTATTAGGTAAGGATTATTCTGAATCGAGAATATATGCTATTGATATGGAGCCAACTTTACAAAATGATATTGTTTTTGGAGGAAGTGTAAAAGAAATAATATCAAAGTAGACTTATCCTATCGTTGGTTACTTCCAAACTGAGTTAGATAATACTCATGTAAGATGGATTTTCACTTATAAACATGATGCCACAGTTGACGTACTTTTAATATAATATACATCAGCTGTTAGAATATGAAATTAGTAGGTGTACGCTCTATTTATTACATCCTTAGGATATAGCGTCTTGTCCAATCTAGATTCAAAAACTGGAAGGGCTATCAATTCACTTAGACTAAATGGTGAAATGTAGTATATAAGACCTCATGCATTTGACATAGGTAAATCTGGAAAAATCAAGTCAGTAATAATCGATCAGAATAATGATTACTTATATTATGCAGGTAGTACATTAACTTTAGGAATTTATAAGTATGTGTTTGGAAAGATGAGTATCTCGTTTATCTCTCAATTTGCAAAAGAATTTACCCTTAATGGGCCTTAATAGTATTTCTAAGATTCAACTATTCAATAATTGGTATTTAGCAAAGATGAAAAACTCTTAGGAGGCTGTATATCAAATAATCCATCAGCAGTAAATGCACCATCATTACTAGGTCTGTTTGTTTTTGATGTTGTGAATTCAAATATACTTTCAAGCTATTTCATAAAAGCAGATGACAGATAGTACTAATGTATTTTTGAGTATTTCAACATATATGGTCCAAGTCCAAATACATTTGAAATATTCTTTAATCAAAATCTCAAAATTAGCAATGATTAATAATAAATTTATAGAATATAATTAAAAACAGACTAATTTAGCTCATTATAGCCTTCATTAGTAATTACAACTTTTATAATAACGAATTACAATCCAATAGCAACAGGGGAATTCTAGAATTATAACTTAACTTACATGAAATTAATTAATGACCTATATTTATTGATAGCAGGATCCTATATTACTGGATAATCAAGAGGTTTAGTGGCAATTTAATTAAGTACTTAATATGAATGCAATCTTTTTTTAGATATCTACAACTTTACAGACGACAATATTATTGTAGAGTAACTATTTTTGTTAGAAAGTGTTTATTAATTTGCAACTGTAGCATCAATGTCAACCTATTAATATGTTGAAATAATAAGGTAAAAAGATTTAAGAGGATTTATCTAAAGATTTCCAAATAATTAATAGTTTCCTTGATGCAATAATCCAACTAGAATTAATATAGATTATTAGCTTCATTAAAAAATGAAAAATGGAGGAACTCTAATATGTTTAATAGGATTTAACTGCTCAAGCTTAGTTTTAATCAAATTAAGATAAAACAATTGTTCTGATC